GCCGCAATCTCTTCTCCTCCATTCTCCTCTCGGGATCTTGGGCACGCACACACACGCACCCGGCGTGAGTTTTAAGCCACTGGGTCCGGGATGCGAACCGTGGTCAACTACGTGGGAGTCCAGCGACATAGCCATTACGCTGACTGCTGGTTCCCCACCCGGCATGAGTTTTAAGTCACTGGGTCTGGGACTCAAACCCCTGTGGACTCCGTGGAGTCCAGTAACCAAGTCCAATGCCATCTGCTGGCCCCACGAGCTCCTTTCAGTCCCGTATCCTCAGCAAACGGGCCCCACGCCCTGCTGGCAACCACCCCCCACACACGCCCGCTCTCCACCCCATTACCGTGCCCTCGCAGGCCCCCGTCTGGACGTTCACTCGCAGGGAGTTGGCCACGGGGAGGCCTCGATGGTAGTAAAAGGCCACAAAGTGGAAGGAGGGTGCCAGGCGGTGGTCCACAAACACGGAGACCGTGGTCAGGGCCCTCCCGGCCTCTCCCTTCAGTGACACGATCTCGCCCCGAGATAGGATCTGGGCCAGGGAGAGAGCAGGAGTGAGCTCCCTTCCCACTGCACGCCCAGCCCGAGGGCCTCTCCCGGCCCGGCCCCTGCCCCTTGGCCCACACGCACCATGTAGTAGAAATGAGAGGCCGTCCCACTGATGCCCACAGCTCGCAGGTTCAGGGTGAGAGTGTCCCCGACACGAGGGGGCCGGAAGTCCAGACGCTCGATGGACAGGAAGGCAGAGTCTCTTGACGATGGGGCTCTTGCGATGAGCCTGGCCGTGGCGGGATGCGGGGAGCCCGCGGACACCTGGTGGAGGGCGGGTGGGGTTCCGGGCCCCCCCTCCGCCCCCCCAGCCTCAGGGACCTGGCGCTTTCCCCCCGCTGCCCGCCCCCTGGTCAGAGGAGCCTACCAGGAGCTGCAGTTCGGAGGTGGTCTGAGGGATGACGATGGGAATGGTGATCTGGCCGTTCTCGTCCGTGACGTGCTGAAGGTCCCGGTTTTCAGAAACAGACCCAGAAGAAGACAACTGGGCAGAAACTTTGACAGGAACGCCAGCGGCTGGGGAGCCTGCCAATTCCCGGACCAGGCCCTGGTGGGTGGAGGAGGGGTGGAGAGCAGACGTGGTCAGGGAGGCCCCGTGCCCTCCTGCCCAGCACCGCTCCCGCCCCCACCAGGAGAAACCTGCAGCAGGAAGGGGGCCCCAGGCACGAGATGCCGCTTGCTGTTGCTAAGATCCAAGGAGAAGGGAGAGGACACGAAATGCCACGATGTGAGCTCCGCCTCTTCCATCTCCCCCCCTGTAAGACAGGGCAGAGAGAGGTGGAGGACAGAGCCAGGGAGAGAGGAACGGGGTGCTTCCCTCCCAGAAGGCAGAGAGCGCTTCGGCAGGGCCAGCTTGCGTCCACCTCTGTCCACGGAGGACTGGCACAGGGGCTGGCACAGAGGCGTGTGACATGTCTGCAGGTGAGGGAGTGGGAGACAGAGCCGGCTGGAGACAAAGGCTCCTGGGTCTCTCGGAGCTTTGGGCCCGAGGGGAGGTGGGAGAGGTCAGGGGTGATGGGGCCTGGGTGCCAGGAGGGAAAGCCGCGCACCTGGTGACTCGATGATGGCTGCGGCCACGTAGAGACGCAGCCCCGGGAGGTCAGCCATGTTAACGCTCAGCTTCTCCAGGGCGCCCCGGAGCTCGGCCTCAGAGAGGGCAACGTGGCTCTGGCCATCCACCAGCTGGGGAAGAGAAGAAACAGGACGTGGGCTGACGCTGGCACCTCCGCCTCCCCACCCCACCCCGCTTCTTCCTACCTTGCTCTGATTCTCCAGCCCCCGAAGGAAAGTCTTCTGGCCATCCTCGTCCAGGAGCCCAAAGCGCACGTACGCCACGCCCTGCACTGGCTTCCCGTAGATCCCCCTGCCGCCACACGGAGACCGGGAGAGGGCAGGGCGGGTCACAGGCCGGGGGAGTCGCCACCCGGGAGGGAGGGAGGTGGGCTGCACAGCCCCTCACACTGCATGGGGACCCTGGGAGCAGGCCTGGTGGGGGTGGAGGGCGTTACCTGGCCTGGATGTCTAACTGGATTTCACCAAGGGAGTCGGGTGTTGTCAGGATGTAGGGCTTTCCTGGGGTGATCTTCACCTCAAAGTTGGGAAGGACTGACCCAGGGCAAAGGGCAGGGAGGTTAGACTCTGGCAGAAGGACCCTATGAAGACTCCCCCCCTCAGAGCTGCACACCTGCGTCTGGCCTGCCCTGCTCCCACCGCCTCGCCCCACCCAGGACGGAGCTGCCTGTCCCTCCTGTTTCCAACTCTTACAGCATTACTTTTTTTTTGGGGGGGGGAGGTTTTTGCTATAGGGTATGTACACTCGCTAGAAAGACAGAGAGACAGAGAGACAGAAAGCGAGAAATCCCCCCCCCCAGGAGGTATGGCCACGTTGCAATCCCTTCTCCTCTATTCTCCTCTTAGGATCCTGGGCATGTATACACACGTGCCCGGTGTGAGTTTAAGCCACCAGGTCCGGGACTCGAACCGCAGTCGATCTCATGGGAGTCGAGCTCCATAGCCATTACGCCAACTGCTGGTCCGTCTCTTACCGTATTTCTTCACCTCAAACTGGGTGCTGCTGTTGGACTCCAGGCTGTCTGAGAATCGGGCTGAGATCTTCCACGTGCCCGGCCTGAGGGAGGGCAAGGGAGCTCACAGCCCACCTGTGCAGAAGGGCCACAGAGACGTGGGGCCGGCCCCCTAGAGGAGGACTGCGCAGGAGAACCCGAGGCCCAGGAGGCTCAGGACAGGGCAGCTCAGGGTGCGACTGCTGGGAACAGAGAGCCAGAGGGGCCACAGGAATTGCAGTGGGGTCGCTGGGGGCCGCCCCAGGGAGAGCACTCACTCCGAGATGTCGGGGATCACAAAGTCATCCTGGAAGATGGACGAGGGGATGTGCACCTCCCTCTTCCGCACGCGGAGGCCGTGAGAGTTCTGCAGGAGTGGACGTGGTCACGGGTGGGAGGTCACGCCAGTGGGCCGTCGGGAAGGCCGGAGCTCAGGGACTCACCTCCACCATGACCGTGAGGGTGTCGGTGGACGGGCGCATCTTTTGATCCAGAGCGAAGACCCGGTACCGGACTGGGAATAGAGGACGGGGCGAGGTGAGCAGGTCCCCACATGCGGAGGGCAGTCCCCGGGAGCGGGTGGGGGGGACAACTCCCTAAGTCCCCTCCTGTGCGGCGCTTTCTCTCCGGTTATCTTGCTTCAGGGGCACCATGCACGTCCCGAGTGGGCTGGGAGGGCGTGAAAGGCTGAGACGGAGGCCAAGACCCACCTCGCTGGCCAGGGTTGTAAATGGGCTGGTCCGTCTGCAGGAAGAGGTGCCCCCGGCGAGAGGAGAAGACCAGGTTGACACCCTGAGTGTCTGTGTTTCTGGACAGAAAGTCTTTCAGCCATGGTGACTGGGCCACCAGCTGGACCTCAGGGCCTCCGCGGAGGCGAAGGAGGCCACAGTTCTCCACATCCTTCAGAGGGACCTGGTAGGAGAGAAGGGAGCAGGTCAAAGAGAGCAAAAGGAAGAGGCCCGGGCCAGGACAGACTCCCAGGAGAGCACTGAGGCAGGAGGAGGACAGAGCCGAGAGGGACCGGGCGGCCCCAGCAGCAGGGCATGGAGACCTAGCCTTTACCTGGAGGCTGAGGAGTGTGAAGGGTCTTTCTGAGCTGAGGGTGAAGTCCACCTTTGGGGAGCAGAGGACCTTATGGAGAGAGGGGTTTCTCAGGGACACGGATCCTCTCACTACTTGTCCTGAGGGGACATCCAGCAGCTGCACCCCCACCGAGAGGGGGACCCCTAGGTGGACCACAGAAGGAGAAAACAGGAGCAGCCTGCGGAGGACAGGGACGGTCTGCAGTCAGACACAGCGCCGACCCCCACCCAGCTCTCCCGCACTCTGGGACTGGGCCCCATCACGCCTCCCCACCCAAGCACCCAGCACCCTGCCCCAGGACCTGGGCTTCTGCAGGGACAGGGCAAAGAAGCTGGCCACCCAGATCAGCCCCCAGAGGAGCCTCATGGCTAGAGGACCCGAGAGGGCTTAGATCTGCCTGTCTGTCTGTCTGTCTGCTCCCTTCTGGACAACCTAGTTTCTGGACCTTGCTCCTCCCCTGGCCCAGCTAGGCTGGGAAACCACGTGACAGCCAAGAAATGCAACTGGCCCCAGGCCCAGTACCGGGGGGTGGGGGGGGCACCCCGGACACCTGGGTCTTTCGGGGAATCTGAGGGACTTTTGGCTCAGAGAGCAACCCTGTTCTTCCCCGTTAACCTCTCTCATCCCAGGGCTGGGCACGCACACTGACTGTGTCAGTGCACAGGTTCTCATGCACTGAGGGACTTTTGGCTCAGAGAGCAACCCTGTTCTTCCCCGTTAACCTCTCTCATCCCAGGGCTGGGCACACGCGCTGTGTCAGTGCACAGGTTCTCATGCCCCCGTGCTCATGCACACATGTACGTACGAGAGCCCAAAGTGGCCGAAATGCAAAGGATATTTCAGTCCTGACAAAGCGAGGGTTGGCTTCTAAGACGCTCGTCTCTCGCCTTCCCGGCCCTCCCCCTTCTGGGCACACACACTAACTTGTTTTCTGTAGGCCCTAACAGGAATTCTGTGGGTGAGGAAATCAGAACACCCTCACCACCCCCACAGGGAGCACCGAGCTGAATGTCAGTCACCCACTCCCCTGTCTGCGCAAGGGGGCGAAGGTCAACTTAGGCCTGGCTTTACCTATATCCCTGAACGAGGCACCCAAAATACAAACGGCAAGAAACGAAGGACACCTCGAGAACATCACAGGCAGCGGTACTTTATTTGGCAACTTCAACCCAACATGTAGGGAAGAGACCCTTGCCCCGCTTCCCCAGCATTCCCCAGCCTTCCCCAGCCTTCCCCAAAATCCCACCCTAGGGAAGAGACCCTTGCCCCGCTTCCCCAGCCTTCCCCCAAATCCCACCCCTGTCCCGAGACAGAGGAAGGAGAGCACCGCTTTACAGTAGCCGCAGCAGCCACGGCCTTGGCAGTTTCTGGCTGAGCTCCACAGGACAGAGCAGCACTGCCCAAAGCCCACCCCGGGCCAGAGCCCAGGTAAACGCAGCGTCACGTCTGCCCGGGTGCACAGAAGCCCAGCACTCCTGGCTCTGGAGTCTTCCCGAGTGGCCGTGTGTCAGCCGGCCGGGCAGCGCTCCCGGGCTCCTCTGCCACTGTCAGGAGGTGTGCAGCGACGAGCAGAAGCCTCAGGTCTCCGGCAGGCGGAGGAGCGTCCCGGAAGTGGTGGAGATGCAGGGCGGGCAAAGACAAGGCTGGAGCCAGATGCCTGGGCCCCAGGGGGCTCCCAGGTTCAGC